GGCGGGAGGAAGGTCGTCAGCCTCTTAAAAAAAAAAAAAAAAGTACCAGCACAAGGGAGAAAATAAAGGATCACAAGAAGGCACCATAAGGGCATGCAGTCCATGTCCTACACCTAGACCGTTCTGAGACCTTGAGCCGGAGTCCAGAGGAAGGGTCTGAGCCTTTTTTTAAAAAATTTCCAGAGGACGGGAACCAGCAGTTAGCATAATGGCTATGTCGCTGGACTCTCACGTAGTCAACTACGGTTCGCGTCCCGGACCTGGTGGCTTAAAACCCACGCCGGGCGCGTGTGCATGCGTGCCCAAGATCCCGAGAGGAGAATGGAGGAGAACGGATTGCGGCGTGGCCATCCCCTCTGGGGGATGATTTCTCGCTTTCTGTCTCTCTGTCTCTCTCTGTCTGTCTCGCGAGCGCACGCGCCCTATAGTGAGAAACCTCTCAAAAAAAAAAAAAAATTTCCAGAGGATGTATGTGTTCACCAGAGAGAAATAGAGAGGGAGAAATAACCCCCAATGGGACATGGTCATGCCGTACTCCCTTTATTTTTCCACTCTGTCAGGAATTGGAGCATGCAGGCACATGTGTCCAGCCTTTTTTCAGACTGGCTGAGGCCAGGATTTGAACTGCCATTGGCCATGTGTGATCTGGCTCACCCTAATCTCTAGGCTGTGGGGCCAATCCATATGTCCAAGGCTTTAGCTACTTTCTCCCCTTGCAGATTCTGTATGGTTTATTCGGAGGTTCCCAACTTCAGTGAGCCAAACCCAGAGTACAGCACGCAGCAGGCACCTAATAAGGCGGTGAGTTCCATGGCCGCAATGGTAGGGAAGGAGGGGAGATCAGGCCAAGCATCATGGCAGGTCTGAGTATGTAATCTGTGCCTTCAGGTGCAGAACGACAGCACCCCCACAGCTCCCCAGCCTAGCACTGGACCTCCTGCTGCTTCTCCAGGTAAACCTGTTCCCTTATATCCACTGGTCCTCCTAGCTCTCCCATTCTCCCCAGCTTGAAAAGATGTATTTCTCTCATCCCTTTTCCAAAGTTCTCTTTTCTCAGTATATCCCCTTCTACCCAGTTCTTCCAGTCCCCTTATTTTTGAAAGGGTTGTGGCATGTCACAGTCCTCCTGTCCGAACATTCCAATTAGCCAGGATCACAGACATGCACAACCATGCCCAGCATGTTCAAGTCAGCCCAGGAATAAAACCTGGGCCTCATGTGTAGTCTCCAGCCTCCCAGGCAGTGGTACTACTGTGTGGTAGTGCTACTATGACTGGGCTCCAGTCTGCTCATCTTTGGTAGTTTTTACAAGTGCCTATGGTAAAATGGTTTAGGAACCTGTTTCGGTCAGTGAAAGAGCTCGAATACCCTTTTGCCACTATCACCCAAAACCAAAAGGAGAACAGTTTCTCTTCATGAATGAATATTAGTGACAAAGGATTAAAGTTACCTTATTAGATACATTTTTGGGGAGTCCAGCAGGTGGCATAGCGATTAAGGCGCTGGACTCCCACATGGCTGACTGTGGTTGGAAAGAGAGGGAGAAATAATTCCCAATGGATTCATTCATTCATTCAGATTTGCTACAGGGCACATGTATTTGCTGGAGAGAGACAGAGAGAAAAAGAAAACAAGAAAATACCCTTTGGGGGAGATAGCCATGTTCCAATCCCTTTTCTTTCAGTTTCTCTTGAGATTTTGGGCACTCGTGCACACACTCCTTGGCATATTTTTTAGGCCCTAATCAGGTCTAGGACTCAAACTGCATAGTTGGATGTGAGGGATCCAGCTGTCTTACCACCATGTCAGTGACTGGATCCCCTTATTTATATTTTTTTAATGAATATGTTTCATTGTGATATAGGCCCTTTTTTTTCCCTTAAGATCCTTCTTAGGTTTCAAAGATTTTTTTTTTTTTAATTTCTTTCTTTCATGGGTGAGAGAGAGAAGAAGAAAGAAAAACAAGCATCCTCAATAGAATCTCATACTGCAGTGCCTCCCAGCCTTTTCCAGCCAGTCAGGATCAGGAATGCTTGTTGACTGAAAACGAATCCCAGTCTTCCCCATGGTTTCCAGCATTGCAGAGTTTTGTGTTACTGTTGTGTCACTATGCCTGGGCTCCTCCTTACATTTTTTTTTTCTTTTAATTTGCCAGAGGATATGTGTGCTCATTATAGAAAAACAAACCAAGAGTGAGGGAAAGTACAAAAGCACCGCCTAATGAGGAATGGCCACCCATAATCCCTTTTCCATCTCCCCCTCCTTTTGGGATTGTGGGCACATGCATGCATATATCTGGTGTGTTTCTCAAGCCAACCGATCCGGGACTCAAACCATGCAGTTTGCCATGTGTGTGGGATCAGCCACCTTAACCACCAGGCCAGGGGCCAGTCTACCTCCGTACATTTTACCACAGAAACTTAGGACCCTTTCCATGTTTCTTCAGTTTCACAATAGCTTTTAGTAAAGATATCCTAGGGACCAGCAGTTACGTAATGGCTATGTCGCTGGACTCCCATGTAGTCGACCGTGGTTCGAGTCCTGGACCCGGAGGCTTAAACTCAACGCCAGGCGCATGTGTGTGTGCGTGCCCAAGATCCCGAGAGGAGAATGGAAAAGGGATTGCGGCGTGGCCATCACCCCTGGGGGGGTGATTTCTCGCTTTTTGTCTCTCTGTCTCTCTCTGTCTTTCTGGCGAGCATACGTGCCCTATAGCAAAAACTTCTCCAAAAAAAAGAAAAAAAAAAAAAAAAGATATCCTAGAACCTAGAAGTAAATATTGATAGCTTATACTAGGTCTGATTCCCAATGACACAGAGATGAATGAGAGAGAAAAATATACCAGAGTTCATATAGCAACTTCCAGAATGATTATTTGAGCCTTCTCTGGGGCTCCATTCATACTTGCAGCCTACATTCTTTTGCATTTAGTCAACTTTCACATACAGTTGTGCATGGTGAAGACTATGCCACTCTTGGACATGGATGTAGGCCTTGGAAATGACCTCCTTCCTGTCTTTTATTTTTAAAATTTGGATAGGGGGCATGTGAGCTCTCTGGAGAGACAGAGAATGGGGAAAATGAGAAAGCATCCCTCCCATAGGGCATGGTCACACCACAATCCCTTTTCCATTTTTCCCTCTTTTTGGATATGCATGTATATCCATGTTTTTCAAGCAACAGTTCATATAACTACCAGGCCACATGCTGGCCCTCTGTCTTTTTTTCAGTTTTGTTATAGGGACCATGCACTTGCTAGAGAGAGACAAAAAGTGAAAGAGAATAGAAATGGGAAATCACCCCCAGGGGAGATGGCTTCACCACAGTCCTTTCTCTTCCATTCTCCTCTCTGGATTTTGGGCACATACATGTGTCTGGTAAGATTTTCAAGCCACCATACCTGGGACTTGAACCACAGAAGACCATATGGAAATTCAGCACCTTAACCACCATGCCAACTGCTGGCCTCTCCCATCTTTATTTTTATTGCTCGAATGTTCATGCATTCTCTAGAGCCAGTGAGAGGGAAAGTGAGAAATGACCCCTTGGGGGAATGGCCATGCCATAGTCCCATTTCCTCCATTCTCCTTCTGGGGTTTGGGGCACACATGCACATACACCCAGTGTGATTTTCAGGCTGCCATGTCCAGGACTAGAACCACAGTCAGCCATGTGGGAGTCCAGCACCTTAACTACCATGCTACCTGCTGCTGCTTGCCCCACATCCCCCTATCTTTTTTATTTTTCAAATAATTATTTAATTTTGTATATTTATTTGTTTATTTTTATTTTGGCCAGAGAGAGACAGAAAGTGAGAAAGCAAGCCACCAGGTCCAAGACTCAAATATGGGAGTGTCCAGCGCTTTAACCACCACTCTACCTGCTGGTCCTGACCCTCCA